GGGGGGGCGGCCCCTTCTTCGGGACGCAGAAGCGATCTGGCGACAGGTAAGTCGCCAGGATCGCTTCTGTTGTAAAGCCGACAGTCGGCTCTACAAGTTTAAACAGAGTCCCGGCGGCAAAAGTCACCGGGAGTCTGTTTAAACAGCCCCGATGCTGGCGACGTACACTGTACGTCGTCAGTCACGAAGGGGTTAATTGACACGATTTGAGTAGTTAGTGACAATATACCCATGTATAAGATTACATGAACTTAAATTTGATAAACTGTGGGTCATCTGGTTTGCCTCCCCCTGCAGTCATTTCTTCTACTGGCTGCAATGTTCCAATGGTTTTATTTTATTGTTACTTTAAGATTATTTATGAAATGTAAAAAACAAAAAATGCATAAAAAGCACAAAGACAAATACTTTTTTTCAGGTAATGTAATTTATTTTAACTTATACTTTAAAAATCCAGCAAATGTATGCAATACACCAATTTGGTACAAAGTTCATTAGTTTTTTTTTTTTCTCTTTTAAACCAGGTATTTAGTGCTTGAGAAACTAAGAGCACATGCAGATAGGATCCATATTTTTAGTTCTTTTTTCTATAAACGCCTCAATCAGAGAGAGAGGAGGAACTTACAAGATACCGCTAACTTGACGTAAGTTTGGCTGGTTTGGTCAGTTGTTGCTTTTTCTTGTCCTATCCATGTTGTGTAATCTTTTTTTTCTGTTTTAATAAAGCACTCAGTCTGGAATTATCTTTAATTGACTCCTTGCACAACACTAATGTAACCAAAAATGGGATTTGTTACTGAACTTCTCTGCTTTTTAATAGTATTCTGTACTTTTTTCCTTTTACCTCGGCTTCAATGCCTAAATTTCGATATTTACTTAGGAGATCTTTGTATTACTAACTGTTAGAAGTTTTATCATTTAGGATTCAAACAAATATTTTGCTGTGTGTTATTGTTTCCTGAAATATATCTTTTTTTAATTTACCTTTCTAGAAGAATTTACAGAGCCTTTCCTTGCTTCTATAAAGTTTAACATCCATACACTGCTTGCAGTATAATGACCACTGGGGATATGATTGCTTGCTCTGAAAGCCTGCTCTCGTACTACTGCGGAGTGCCAGTTTTTTTCAGCAACCCGAGTACAGAATCCCACTAAGGGCCTGTTCACATGAGATCAGGTCCTGATCAGGTGCGGATCTGCAGACTGATGCAGTGCGTTTTGGCCGCATTTTTTATGCTTTCCAGTAAAAAAAAAATATTTTCTTTTTGCTGGAGTGGGGCTGTTAGTATGTTAGCTGCAGTGCAGTGCGTTTTTAATGCGGTTTTGGATGCGTTTGCGTTTCCTGACCGTACAAAATGTGACATGCAGTATTTTTCTGTCGTAACCTGAACGGACTGCGCACGTGAGAACTGTAGCCCATAAAACACACAGGGATACATTGGGATGCATTTTGAGTGCAGCAGCGTACAGATCCGGTCAGCACACAAAACGGACGTCGTGTGAACAGGCCCTAAAGTGAAACTTAATTGTAGAGGCTACAGAACTAGTTACGGTTATGACCTGTGGTCTCCCTGCAGCTGATGTTCCACCCATTACTGACTTACACTGATCTTTTTTTCTGTGTGGAGACGTACATCTTGGTAAAGGCCGTGTTTTACTTCCTCATGTCGGAGCCTCCATCAAGGTGAATCTGAACAGCACAGTAATGACATTACCAAATCTCCTAGCAGTCAGGGGCAGCAGTGCCTTATATCTCACACTGCACTTATGCAGCCTTTAACGCAAAGTGACATTAAACCCTCAGATTTTTTGCATAAACCAATACTGTAATGTGTGCCTTACTGTAATCCATGGTAGTTTCCCTTCTCTTTGCTGCTCTTCCTTTTAAATCCGTATGTCTTCTCATGCTGGGCAGAACTTCTGTTTTGCAGCAGACTGCCTTGTCTCTGAAATGGATACATGGTGTATGTGTGTAGGTTCACAACCTGAGCCAGCACTATAGGAAGAGGCACTCAGCTGCAAAGGGAAGTTCTCCCCAAGCATGAGAAGACATGAGGATTTAAAAGAAAGAGCAGCAAAGAGAAGGGAAACAACCATGGATTACAGTAAGGCACACATTACAGTATTGTTTTCTGTTAAAAAATCTGAGGGTTTAATGTCACTTTAAGGCACTTTAAAACTAATGCGTTTGGAATCATGCCATAGGAAGCCCATCAACACCAAGCAGGGTTGTAGCCTTAGCCTCCATTGATCACTACAGAACAGAAAGTAGGGTTTCTACCTCACAGACTAAAAGTGGGGCAAACTCTTCGACACTTATAAGTGTGCTCAAATTAATAGACTATAAAGAAAAATGAAGGCAATTTTATTTGAGCATATAAATAAAATCAAACATTAGATTGCTTGAATTGACTAAGTCTAGACTTTGGGGGCTGATCTATAAAAGTCACACCACATTCCTGCAACTAGATGGAGTATTTACATATTATTCCCTTAGGGCAGCGGTTCTCAACCGGGACCCCTTCGGGGGTCGAATGACGATTTGCCAGGGGTCGCCCGGGAGTCTCCTGCTATTAGATAACGGCTCCTGGCCGCCTGGGAGAGAAACACTTTCTCCCGAGCAGAGTAAACCTTTTTTGTCTGACATTGGGGGCCGTAGGCCGCCGTAAGTCAGAAAAAAAAAAAACAACACCCTAGGAATGCATAGCACCCTAATTTTTACCGTTGGGGGTTCACCACAACTTGGCAAATGTTACCAAGGGGTCCCGGCCCTAGAAAGGTTGAGAACCACTGCCTTAGGGTATTATCACCTATGCAGACAAATTTGAGAACCCTTCCACTATATGTTTGTATTCCCATTCACAGCAGACCTACAGGTACCGTATTTTGCGGTCCATAAGACGCACCGGACCATAGGGCGCAGGGAGGTCCGGCGCGCCTTATGGAGCACTCGAGACTGTAGCTTCTGTGACAGCTTCTATGACAGAAGCTGTGACAGAAGCTGCAGTTAGTGACCGCTGAGACAGGTGGCGCTGTGATTACAGTGCCGCGGTCTCAGTGATGACACAGAGCAGGCGAAGAACGTCTATTCTTCGTCTGCTCTATGGTTATCTCGATCGTCGCCGCTGCTCGGCTTTAATACGAGTGATCTCGTTAGATCACTCGTATTAAACGAGCAGTGGCTCCTACTCCTCGCCCGCCACCCGAAACTGCATGTCTCGGGCGTCGGGATTCGCTCCATAAGACGCAGGCACTTTTTCCCCCTTTTGGGGGGAAAAAAGTGCGTCTTATGAGGCGAAAAATACGGTAATTAAAAATATATTTCTTGTTTCTTTGGAGTAGGATTATACACACAACTCTGCAGGCGGCTGAGGTTTTCATAATACCTGACTGAACAGCACATTATGGAACATGTAACAAATATAAACTAGATGTTATCCCAGTTTGGCTTGAAAAGGTGCAACAGATTCATCCATCCACACTAAACTGTGGCCCAGGTGGAGATGACTCCATTCACAATCTGTTGCACTTTTTCCATCTGATCACAGAAAATCTGCAGATAATTGTAAGGTGTATGGCACCTTAAGAGGTGCTCTATGGTCACTTTCTGCCTGCAGTTCATTAGATTTAAAGTATATTATCACTTTTCCATCTGACCATAGAAAATCTGCAGATAATTGTAAGGTGTATGGCCAGCTTAGAAAACACGGTATAAGTGGATTGATCAATGTATTTGTCTGCTGTAGGTCAGGAAAAACGATGAGCAATGTTTGAGTAAATAATATGTTATTTTTCCTTCTGCAGACTGCAGCAAAGGAGGCATGGAAGAGTCAAAACGTGGACTCGGCATGTGGACCTCTTTCAGAAAGACTTCATATTTGTTCCACTAAATGAAGCGTATGTAGAATCTTGAAACGTAAAACACAAACTTTCTTGGCTTACTGGTTGTAATGCATTGAAAGGCAACTGCAGCATGAAGTCTAAATCGTGGGGGTTAATAAATAATCTCACAATGCTGTGATACCCATTTACCCAAGTACACACACAAATTAGAGCTAGAGTACATATTTCACTTTCATTGCTTCTCTTTGAATTCTTTGAAGTATGTTAATCTCAAACAATAGCACATTATTATTCTATACAGTATTATGATTACATTCCTTTAATAAATGTCGACTTTGTTCATTTGCTTTATATGATGCATTTACTTTGCATTGCCGCAGCATGTGGCTTTCAGATGCCTATGTGGTATAACTGTTGCTTCTGAAGATAAAATATAGATATATTAGAAGCAATTCATTGTTCTTCTCACAAATATCATTAACTATTGCTGGCTTGGCAACAACTGTGCTCCACCAGTAATTAAAGCTGAGTCAGCTATATGATTGCAGCTGGTGTAATTGGTAATTCATCTAGATCCTTGGTTCTCAACTGAACCCGTGTTCAGTGGGTTGCCACATGCCTTCCACTTTTCTAGGTGAGAGGCTCCTCTGCCTCCCCCTAGAGCAGCACTGACAGTGTCAGCTGAGTTGGGATTGGTTGGGCCTATGGCCGTGAGGGAGCTCCATCCATACGTGCATTGCTAACAGCTCCCTTATGTGTCCTGTAGAGGTGCCTGGACCAGAGTGACATCACATTCTGCCTCCCAGCACCTCTGCAGGGCACACAAGGGAGCTGTACAAGCAATGCACATATGGAAGGAGCTCCAGCACAGCATCCCACAATGACCTCCAGGCTGAGGATCCACTCCAGTTCTCATAAGGTAGGGAGACTGGGTGGACCTTAAAAAAAATAAAATACATTTTTTTGGGGGAGTGTGTATGTGTGAAAATGTCTGAGTGTGTGAGATTGTGTCTGTGGTTGTGTATATATGTCAGGGTTTGGCCCATTCACACTATATTACAGCGCGTTCCATTGCAGTGCAACTTGGATTGCGACTTAATGACCAAGGACAAATGTGGGCCCTGAGGTTACACAGGTTGAGAACCACTGATCTAGATAATCATTGTATGGAATCTGCCCTGAAGAATTGTAGGACAGCATGAAAGTGAGCTAGTGTGACGTTTACACACTCTCAACCTTACCCTGGGCAGAGATTTTTCAGCCCACAGGACAACAATCTAAGAACTAGCAGTTGAGACTGACAGTCACTGGGGCATTTCAACTAAGCACATGGTAGGCACCACCGCAGGTTTTAACAGAAAAACACACCATGTACGGCATTGATTGTTGTAATTTAAACCTTTAAAAAAATGTGTGTGTTGCTCACTGCCACACCCAGGCAAAAATGTAACACTTTACACTATGATAGCTGCTTCACACAGGCAAATTTCCTCATTTTTGGTTAAAGAATTGCATCCAACTGGCATCCATTGCTAAGCCCAAGAGCTAAAACAGTCGGCTCCTGGGCTTCTGATGCTTTTACAGAGCACTACATGGGAGTGCACTGTGAAAGCAAAAGTTAACAAAATAATTCCACTTTCTGTTCTGTTTACATCAGGAGTGAAGTGATGTCACAAGTGACATTGCATTATGTCTCCTACCACCGATGTTGGCGGCAGGTCCCTTGGAAAACAAACCCTTCCAATTGAAATCGGCGGTCCCCTACAGCTCTCACTGGTTCCTCCTGCTGACCACCACATCCTTACTCTCTCCTGCAATGATGTGAAAGTCAGCAAGAGGTACCAGTGGGAGCTGTGGGGGATCACAAGAGTTAAGGTGCCCATACACTGTACGATTGTCGTACGAGAATTGCGGGAAATCCCGCGATCGTACGAGAATCGTACAGTGTATGGAAGGCGTGCGACCGTTTCTACTGTACGGTCGCACGTCGAACAAGCAGGCTAGAAAACCCGCCGGGAACCGTACGATTCTCGGCGAGTGAGTGGCCTGCTTGTTCGACAACTGCCGAACGGGCCGGTGTGCGCACACTGCCCGTTTGCAGTGGTCGGAAGCCCGCCCCTCACTGCCGTCATCGGCTTTCGATGATCGGAAGTACGATCTGCCTGTCCAAATCGTACGAGCTTTCAATGAGCTTACTACCATGGCAAGACAAAGGTCTTGCCATGGTCGTAAGGTGTATGGGCACCTTTAGACACTCCTGAAGTCTTTTTCTCAGAGGACCAGTGGTGTGAGCTGACTTTATAGTAAACATCACAGCTTGCTTTGTCTGTGTGTTAGGACTGCACTGGGAAAGGATTTAACTGTGCAGTTACTGTGCATGATTAGTTAGTTCCAGATGACGGCAGTGCCTGTACAACCACTGAATCCGCTATAGTAACCTCCTTTGAATCCTTACATAACAATATAT